TCCTGGGGGGCAGCATGGACAAGGGGCCTGTGGCCCACGTGGAGAAGCTGTTGCTGGGAGCAGAGGGCTGGGAGGAGGTTAGCCCCATGGCGCGGGCTGTGGTGATGGCTGCCACTGTCACTCTGTGTATTTATGTGGCTTGTGGACTGGATGAGAATGGGGAGGTGTACAGCGGCATTCAGAGATACCTGGTGAAGGAGGACCAATGGGATGTGGTCACCTACTCCCCTCTGCCCAGGTAAGTGAACTCAGAGCTTGTACTAGTTCTACTAGGTTGAAAGTCATTGAACTAGGTTGCTTCAACAAACTTTTGTCTGGGACATGTTCCTTATAAAATAGATGTGTATGTCCCGTGGGTATGACCTTCTCACAACAGAGCTCAACGGGGCCCTCTATCTCCTGGGAGGCCAGGCTCTAAGGTTGGTTGTGGAGACAGACGAATGGACAGTTCTAGAAGAATGTCTGGACAGAGAGTTATTTGGTGGATGCACCACAGTCAATGGCCAGATCTACCTGCTGAGCAAGCAAAAGATGAAGAAAGCATTCCACAACATGGTACTGACGGATCCTTATATCGACACCTGCAAGGAAATAGACAATGCCATACCCTGTCCTATACCTCTCCGTGGCTGTGTCACCATGCTGCAAGTAAACTAGTTTGCAGTTCACATCCTTCTCACCAACTCCCTCTCACCAATATAAGAGATATTTATATATTGAAATGGTTAAACACCTATCAGCTATTGATTTTTCTTTTGAATGAAAAGGTACAACAAATGTATCAATAGTTAAATAAAAGTCATTTATTGATTGTGTTGAACTGGCCACAGAGTGAACAAAGTTATGCGGTGTGTGCATTCATTATACGCAGAACAAAAAGACTGGTCATATGTTATTGCCATGAAGACCATGGCATTTCTCTTGTTGCAATAGTTGAACTTTTAATAAAATAAACATCCAATAATCATGATTTAAGTGAGTCATTGAGTGTATCAGTCCTTTTGGTGCTCTAGAAACAGACCACAGATAAAAACCCACAGACACTCAGTGTGAACGTGTCATACTGGAGACAATAGTACATTAACAGAGAGTGAGGCACACAGACCCTGGCAACAAAGAAGTGTGTTCCTACCGTGGTCCATATGTGCTTTAGTCAACTCATCTGATCCTCACTGTCAAGCACATTCAGATCTGGGACCAGGCTAGTTAGTGTATTTCAGTGTGAGACAGATAGAGATGATTGTGATTGACACATCTCTGGGCGAAAGATAATTACAGGTAATTTCAAACCCCCATCTTGCACAGTAGTATCATGCTTTCAGTGCAAGAACGATTTGTCACATTTCAAACTATACATATGTCAGTTATATGAACAGTAAACTTGTATTGATCCAGACATTATTCCATACCTATAGATTTAGACAGAATCTAAAAACATTGTTATATTTTGAGGGTACCCATCAGCATGGGCACATTACATGGCTCTCCTAAATATGTAGGATCTTAAAGACGTGCTCCGCTACCTTGGCAACTAAAAAAATATTTTTTAAACCTCCCGCTCTGGGCTGGATGTGTCAATGTGTAGTTCATACATGCATAATGGATGAGCAGAATTACTGTCTTACCTCAATTAGCCATGAAATCCCTAGTGTGAAAGCGACTGTTTTCTTGAAGCTGTTCTGCGCCATTTTCCTTACATTTCCCCCCACGTGGGCCAGCCCCCTAGCAATTTGAGTTCTACCCGATGAGCTTCAGCCCCTCACATTTGAGTGGCAGCTAGCAAGAGACCTGCCCAGCGTTATCCAATGAGGTTGCAGGGCAAGCCCAACGGCTCAGTGGACACAGCAGAGGCCCGAAAAATTGCCAAAGACTCCAGCTATAGTCTGTTCACCCTGCCACCATCCGTCAAAGGGTACCGGAGCATCGGCTCACAGCTTCTACCCCCAAGCCATAAGACTGCTAAATAGCCATAAGACTGCTAAATAGCCATAAGACTGCTAAATAGTTCATTAATGGTTACCCGGACTATCTGCACTGACCCTATGCACACTCACAAGACTATATACACTGAGTGTACAAAACATTAGGAACACCTGCTCTTTCCATGACATAGACTGACCAGGTGAATCCAGGTGAATGCTATGATCCCTTATTGATGTCAACTGTTAAATCCACTTCAATCAGTGTAGATGAAGGGGAGGAGACAGGTTAAAGAAGGATGTTTAAGCCTTGAGACAATTGAGACATGGATTGTGTATGTGTGCCATTCAGAGGGTGAATATTTAAGTGCCAGGCGCACTGGTTTGAGTGTGTCAAGAACTGCAACGCTGCTGGGTTTTTCACGCTCAACAGTTTCCCGTGTGTATGAAGAATTTGATTTGAGAGAGAGAGAGTGAGAGCACAATGATGTGCAACATGTAGAACTTGTAGTGTATTTTAGGTTTAAAAAGGCTTCTGAAGTTTGTAATTTCCACTTAGAAATTTCAGACTTGATTTTCACTTAAGAAAAATGTATACACCCCTTCAAAAATGTCCATTAATTATAATCCACATAATAATTTACATTTCCTGTTGCTGCAGGATTATTTTCCTGCTGTAGCAAACTGGCTCAAATTAAGCTCCAACATCTGTACATAGGCACTGGATGGCTCTCCAGATTCTCAATAAAAACAAGAGCAGCAAGTGAAGATTTTTCCCGATCGTTTGTAAAGCTATACTAATAAATAGAGCTACATGTGCTTGTGGCAGAAAACGTTTTAAAATAGCAGCCAAGGCACAAAATAACAAAGTTCAGTAGCACAGAGTAAAACACCTTGTGGAGAAACATGCTGCAAGATCTTCTCTATTGTCACATTGATTATAGAAAAACACATAATATTTTTTTCCCCAAGGCTTTACTTGTAAAATGTTTTATAAGCGAGCAGGAGTAGTTAGCCCAAGATACTTATCTAAGGTTTGTCACCTACAATCCTATGGCAACTTCTACTTGGGGACCCTTTCCTAACAAATAGACATGTTCTCCTTTTCTTCGCAAGAGGGCGCTATCACCATTCTAACAAGAGCAATTTGACCAATTCAATCTTCTAAAATTTTGAGCACTTTTGGGAAGTGTCTGATAAAAACTATCAGCTACAAAGCTATATTATCTGCATATTTCATTCTAGAGGCTGGCATACTGTTGCCTATGATATCCTTAATTTGAATAAAAAGCTAATTGTTCAATAGATACATTATTTTATCCAAAATCAATTATCTTACATGTGTTAATAGTGCCACAGTGGTTAATATAATGAATATGAATGCCATAGATTACTCTGGGTTTTGTAAAAATCCTGATTCCGCCATTTTCATTAAAAAGAAAATCCAGGGAGAAATTATCCAGGGAGGAATTGACACACTTGTTACAGTCACCAACGCTCTGGATAACATGAAAACAGCCTAACCAGCTCTGCTAGGGCGAGTAAAATGGTCAGAGTGAGGTGTTCTCTCATTTGTGTCTGGAAGTAGCTAGCAAGCTAGCCAACTTTAGCTTTGCTTGACTGCCGTTGAGGTCAGAACACATGGATCAACCCAACTCCTCAGCCAGAGCATCCAATGGCGCCCTGAACGCTGTGAGAGCGAAACGCTCTGAATTGACGAACAGACAATCTGACAATGCTCTGAATTTACGTACGACCCAGAGCGCACTCTGACACACTGGAGGCAATTTACAAATGCACCCTTTGACTGTACCAGAGTTAATCGCCATTGCACTGCACACTGCCCTATCCCACCTGGACAAGATAAATAACTATGTAAGAATGCTGTTAACCGACTACAGCTCAGCCCCCTCCTGTACTCCTTGTTCACCCATGACTGCGTTGCCAGGCACGCCTCCAACTCAATCATCAAGTTTGCTGACGACACAACAGTGGTAGGCCTGATTACCAACAACGATGAGACAGCCTACAGGGAGGAGGCGAGAGCCCTGGCGGAGTGGTGCCAGGGAAATAACCTCTCCCTCAACGTCAACAAAACGAAGGAGCTGATCGTGGACTACAGGAGACAGTAGAGAGGGCACGCCCCCATCCACATCGACGGGGCCGCAGTGGAGAGGGTCAAAAGCTCCTCGGCGTGCACATCACTGACAACCTGAATGGTCCCTTCACACAAACAGCTGGTGAAGAAGGAGCAACAGCGCCTCTTCAACTTCAGGAGGCTGAAGAAATTCATCTTGGCCCCTAAGACCCTCAAAAACTTCTACAGATGCACTATTGAGAGCATCCTGTCAGGTTGTATCACTGCCTGGTACGGCAATTGCACCATCCGCAACCTCAGGGCTCTCCAGAGGGTGGTGCGGTCAGCCCAATGCATCACCGGGAGCACACTGCCTGCCCTCCAGGGCATCTACAGCACCCGGTGTCACAAGAAGGCCAAGAAGATCATCAAGGACCTCAGCCACCCGAGCAACCGCCTGTTCATCCAGCTACCATCTAGACAGTGAAGACAGTACAGGTGCATCAAAGCTGGGACAGAGACTGAGAAACAGCTTCTATCTCCAGGCCATCAGACTGTTAAACAGTCACCACTAGCCGGCCTCCGCACAGGACCCTGTCCTGAACCTTAGTTACTGTTGTAGCCGGCTACCACTCGGTACTCTACCCTGCACCTTAAGAAACTGCTGCCCTATGTACAGAGTCATTGAACACTGGTCACTTTAATAATGTTTACATACGGTTTCACCCACTTTATACACTCTATGTGTATACGGTATTCTAGTCATGGTACACACCTTTTCTATTCATAAACTGTCCATACAGTCTATACACACCATTCTATATATATATTCCAGTCTTTGACATTGCTTGTTCAGATAATTCTTAATTTCTTAATTTTTTTTTTGTATTTTTCTGGATTACGTGTGTATTGTTTGTTTTTTTGCTAGGTATTACTGCACTGTTGGAGCCAGAAACACAAGCATTTCGCTGCACCTCCCATAACATCTGCAAATCGGTGTACGCAACCAATAAACTTTGATTTGATTGAGTTAATGTCTTTCACTATTTACACACAATCCAAACAAAAACAAATAAATTATAAATATAAACTATAGAAAAACATACTTCATCTTAAAGTAAAACCAGTGTACTTCTTGTTTGACCATAATGTTTGACAGTGCAGTGAACAGTTATGTACTTCAAACGTAGTGAAGTGAAGTATTATCCGAAACCATAAATGAAATCATAAATGGACCATATTTGTAATATATAAGCCATATAAATGTATTATATCTTACCAGTATATACTGTGGAAGGATAGGAAAACGTTCTAAGTTTAACCTAGTGCGAAAAGAGAGTGGTACTATCTGGCTTTGGGTAGTCTGCTGTTCATATTTCTCTGGTTGGTTAGGTTGTTCAGGACACAATTGTTGGCAAGCGAAGCCAATTTGGAATTGAGGGCGCCCTTTCTTTGCTCCCAGCTAGTCTCCTCTTCCTCCTCTGCCTCCACCTCCTCCTCAGGCTCGCTTTCCTCATCGCTGCGCTCATCTTTCTCCACCTACAGCATAGGATATATGTAAGTGACCGTTTAAGGCTGCAAAATAAATCTACAAACGGAACACAACCAGATGGTATAGCACAGAATGTATTGATAATGCCAATAAATCTTACAAACACTATGCCTTAAAGGCAGTACCCTGTGATACTTCCAAGGTGTACAATGAAAGAAACGGACAGTACACCATAATAATCTTCAGTGACTAATGTATTCTTTGTACGGACGTGTTTTGGCCGCAGTTGGACGAAAACACGTCTGTACTAAGAATAAATGAATCATTGAAGAATATTTATGGTGTTCTGTCCATTTATTTAATTGTGGGCTGTACTAAGATGATTAATCACCCAACTACTTCTGAAAAATAATATGAGTGAGCATGTTATCTATTATTCTACTGTATCATGGCATCCAATGAAATCACCATTAGTAAGTAAGGCGGATAATAACTTGAGTCTACTGACCTTGCCCATAAAGACAAACTTGTAGACCATGCGTAGGATCAGCCAGGCCCAGAAGATGTGCAGAGCTTGCAGCACCAACAGAAGTGCATTGAAGAAGTAGTAGCCAAAGAAAGGCTGGAAGAAATCCAAAGACACAACCAGGGTGGAGTGGACTATTCTGAAGGGGCAAGAAGGTGCATATAAAACAGTAAATTAATCCATCCTCAAGCCTTGCATTTATAACATTCCCTAAGCGGTACTTCTGAACACATTCCCTTAACTGATTTACAGTACACACTATGTTCTGACTTGAGATGTGCGTACATCAGAAGTAATGGAATATTTGCATGTAGGCCTACATTTGAGTTGTGTAAACTGTCAGAAAAGGATAGACCCTGAGTAATCTTATTACTACTTTTATTATACAGTGGGGGAAAAAAGTATTTAGTCAGCCACCAATTGTGCAAGTTCTCCCACTTAAAAAGATGAGAGAGGCCTGTAATTTTCATCATAGGTACACGTCAACTATGACAGACAAAATGAGAAACAAAAATCCAGAAAATCACATTGTAGGATTTTTTATGAATTGATTTGCAAATTATGGTGGAAAATAAGTATTTGGTCAATAACAAAAGTTTTTCAATACTTTGTTATATACCCTTTGTTGGCAATGACACAGGTCAAACGTTTTCTGTAAGTCTTCACAAGGTTTTCACACACTGTTGCTGGTATTTTGGCCCATTCCTCCATGCAGATCTCCTCTAGAGCAGTGATGTTTTGGGGCTGTCGCTGGGCAACACGGACTTTCAACTCCCTCCAAAGATTTTCTATGGGGTTGAGATCTGGAGACTTTTTTTTTTTTCACTCAAAATCTCACGATACATGGCCCCATTCATTCTTTCCTTTACATGGATCAGTCGTCCTGGTCCTTTTGCAGAAAAACAGCCCCAAAGCATGATGTTTCCACCCCCATGCTTCACAGTAGGTATGGTGTTCTTTGGATGCAACTCAGCATTCTTTGTCCTCCAAACACGACGAGTTGAGTTTTTACCAAAAAGTTATATTTTGGTTTCATCTGACCATATGACATTCTCCCAATCCTCTTCTGGATCATCCAAATGCACTCTAGCAAACTTCAGACGGGCCTGGACATGTACTGGCTTAAGCAGGGGGACACGTCTGGCACTGCAGGATTTGAGTCCCTGGCGGCGTAGTGCGTTACTGATGGTAGGCTTTGTTACTTTGGTCCCAGCTCTCTGCAGGTCATTCACTAGGTCCCCCCGTGTGGTTCTGGGATTTTTGCTCACCGTTCTTGTGATCATTTTGACCCCACGGGGTGAGATCTTGCGTGGAGCCCCAGATCGAGGGAGATTATCAGTGGTCTTGTATGTCTTCCATTTCCTAATAATTGCTCCCACAGTTGATTTCTTCAAACCAAGCTGCTTACCTATTGCAGATTCAGTCTTCCCAGCCTGGTGCAGGTCTACAATTTTGTTTCTGGTGTCCTTTGACAGCTCTTTGGTCTTGGCCATAGTGGAGTTTGGAGTGTGACTGTTTGAGGTTGTGGACAGGTGTCTTTTATACTGATAACAAGTTCAAACAGGTGCCATTAATACAGGTAACGAGTGGAGGACAGAGGAGCCTCTTAAAGAAGAAGTTACAGGTCTGTGAGAGCCAGAAATCTTGCTTGTTTGTAGGTGACCAAATACTTATTTTCCACCATAATCTGCAAATAAATTCATAAAAAATCCTACAATGTGATTTTCTGGAAAAAAAAATCTCAATTTGTCTGTCATAGTTGACGTGTACCTATGATGAAAATTACAGGCCTCTCTCATCTTTTTAAGTGGGAGAACTTGCACAATTGGTGGCTGACTAAATACTTTTTTTCCCCACTGTACTTGACCTTTGTAATACACTCCTAATAAATTGTCAAATGACTGTGTGAGAAAGCGTCCAGTCTCACCTGCCAGGGAAGACCACTAGTCGTGTTAGCAGGAACACCAGGGCGAAGATGACAAACAGTGTGTCACATGTCTTCCTCCAGCCAGCGTAGTTGAACATCTTGGCAGACTGTAAGTGAAATATAATAATACTCCGATCACAGTTGGGCTTATTCAGAACCCTCATGAGGCACTAGTAATGACACAGTCACTATGTGTTACCAGCTGGGTTGACCAATATAGCACAGTGGCTGTACAAATAATAACATACAGTATTGATGTTCTCCAACATATTGTATGACCTCCCAGTCCATACTCTCTGATGGAGTGGTTTTCTCTAGCATACATTGACAACCAATGTCCCCTTCTGACCCAATGTCTCCCATTGACTGCTTCTAAAGGAGGCATTATGTCACGCCTGGATCCACACGACAAGCGATACATACAGTTGAAGTCGGAAGTTTACATACACCTTAGCCAAATACATTTAAACTCAGTTTTTCACAATTCATGACATTTAATCCTAGTAAAAATGCCCTGTTTTAGGTCAGTTAGGATCACCACTTTATTTTAAGAATGTGAAATGTCAGAATAATAGTAGAGAGAATGATTTATTTCAGCTTTTATTCATTTCATCACATTCCTGGTGGGTCAGAAGTTTACATACACTCAATTAGTATTTGGTAGCGTTGCCTTTAAATTGTTTAACTTGGGTCAAACGTTTCGGGTAGCTTTCCACAAGCTTCCCACAATAAGTTGGGTGAATTCTGGCCTATTACTCCTGACAGAGCTGGTGTAACTGAGTCAGGTTTGTAGGCCTTCTTGCTCGCACATGCTTTTTCAGTTCTGCCCACACATTTTCTATAGGATTGAGGTCAGGGCTTTGTGATGGCCACTCCAATACTTTGACTTTGTTGTCCTTATGCCATTTTGCAACAACTTATGTTGCTTGGGGTCAATGTCCATTTGGAAGACCCATTTGCGACCAAGCTTTAACTTCCTGACTGATGTCTTGAGATGTTGCTTCAATATATCCACATCATTTTCCTTCCTCATGATGCCATCTATTTTGTGAAGTGGACCAGTCCCTCCTGCAGTAAAGCACCCCCACAGCATGACGCTGCCACCCCCGTCCTTCATGGTTGGGATGGTGTTCTTCGGCTTGCAAGCCCGCCCTTTTTCCTCCAAACATAACGATGGTCATTATGGCCAAACAGTTCTATTTTTGTTTCATCAGACCAGAGGACATTTCTCCAAAAAGTACGATCTTTGTCCCCATGTGCAGTTGCAAACCGTAGTCTGGCTTTTTTATGGCGGTTTTGGAGCAGTGGCTTCTTCCTTGCTGAGCGGCCTTTCAGGTTATGTCGATATAGGACTTGTTTTACTGTGGATATAGATACTGTTGTACCTGTTTCCTCCAGCATCTTCATAAGGTCCTTTACTGTTGTTCTGGGATTGATTTGCACTTTTCGCACCAAAGTAAGTTCATCTCTAGGAGACAGAACGCGTCTCCTTCCTGAGCGGTATGACGGCTGCGTGGTCCCATGGTGTTTATACTTGCATACTATTGTTTGTACAGATGAACGTGGTACCTTCAGGCATTTGGAAATTGCTCCCAAGGATGAACCAGACTTGTGGAGGTCTACAATTTTCTTTCTGAGGTCTTGGCTGATTTCTTTTGATTTTCCCATGATGTCAAGCAAAGAGGCACTGAGTTTGAAGGTAGGCCTTGAAATACATCCACAGGTACACCTCCAATTGACTCAAATTATGTCAATTAGCCTATCAGAACCTTCTAAAGCCATGACATCATTTTCTGGAAATTTCCAAGCTTTTTAAAGGCACAGTCAACTTAGTGTATGTAAACTTCTGACCCACTGGAATTGTGATACAGTGAATTATAAGTGAAATAATGTCTGTAAACAATTGTTGGAAAAATTACTTGTGTCATGCAAAACTATAGTTTGTTAACAAGAAATTTGTGGAGTGGTTGAAAAACTAGTTTTAATGACTCCAACCTAAGTGTATGCAAACTTCCGACCTCAACTGTATTTCATCAGGCCCAAGATGATGGAGACATTGTTTATTGTGAGATAACATCAGGGCAATACTACACTGCTTTACTGAGTTAATTAAAAAACATATTTAGGAATAAATGTGATAATAGACGTTCTACTTCAGAGCTGAAAGTCTCTTGGGAGAGGTAAGATAAGTTCAGCCTCAAGACATGTTTTCCTTTTACCACATAAAATGGCTAATTATAACCAAATGTGTTTGATCGCTATCAACCTACAGATGCAGGATCTTCATTTGATGACTCTTTTGTTTCTGAGAATTTTCCTGCAAAGCAGGAAATGCAAACTTGTAGTGTATTTGAGTTTTTTAAAAGGCTTCTAAAGTTTGTAATTTCCACTTTGAAATTTCAGACTTGATTTGCCCTATGGAAAAATTTATCAACCCTTACAAAAAATAAGATTAAGTTATGTGAATAAACAAACCCTGTATTCAAATCAAGTTTACAGTGACCTACATGTGAACAAAGAACCTTGCTTAGATAACCACACAACCCATCAAAACAGTATGTGGGAAAATGGTAGTGCCAAATTAGCTTGACCACATGCATGTATGATAAGAGTAATCATTCCCCCTTTAGTTCCCTGTGTCTGTATGATCTGTGTGAGACTTGAAAACTGAGACTGAGCTCCTACCTCCAGGAGGAAGTCTGAGGAATCATGAACTAGTATCACCAGAGTGCCAACGCGCACATAATTGGCACAGTACGAGAAACCGATGAGGAAAATGGTAGCGATGTGGTGGATGATCTGTTCCTTGAAATCCTGAAAACACACACAAACCACACAGCTACAGTGAGGGAAAAAAGTATTTGATCCCCTGCTGATTTTGTACGTTTCCCCACTGACAAAGACATGATTAGTCTATAATTTTAATGGTAGGTTTATTTGAACAGTGAGAGACAGAATAACAACAAAAAAATCCAGAAAAACGCATGTCGAAAATGTTATAAATTGATTTGCATTTTAATGACGGAAATAAGTATTTGACCCCTCTGCAAAACATGACTTAGTACTTGGTGGCAAAACCCTTGTTGGCAATCACAGAGGTCAGACGTTTCTTGTAGTTGGCCACCAGGTTTGCACACATCTCACAAGGGATTTTGTCCCACTCCTCTTTGCAGATCTTCTCCAAGTCATTAAGGTTTCGAGCCTGACGTTTGGCAACTCGAACCTTCAGCTCCCTCCACATATTTTCTATGGGATTAAGGTCTGGAGACTGGCTAGGCCACTACAGGACCTTAATGTACTTCTTCTTGAGCCACTCCTTTGTTGCCTTGGCCATGTGTTTTGGGTCATTGTCATGCTGGAATACCCATCCACGACCCATTTTCAATGCCCTGGCTGAGGGAAGGAGGTTCTCACCCAAGATTTGACGGTACATGGCCCCGTCCATCGTCCCTTTGATGCGGTGAAGTTGTCCTGTCCCCTTAGCAGAAAAACACCCCCAAAGCAAAATGTTTCCACCTCCTTGTTTGACGGTGGGGATGATGTTCTTGGGGTCATAGGCAGCATTCCTCCTCCTCCAAACACGGCGAGTTGAGTTGTTGCCAAAGAGCTCGATTTTGGTCTCATCTGACCACAACACTTTCACCCAGTTCTCCTCTGAATCATTCAGATGTTCATTGGCAAACTTCAGACGGGCCTGTATATGTGCTTTCTTGAGCAGGGGGACCTTGCGGGCGCTGCAGGATTTCAGTCCTTCAAGGCGTAGTGTGTTACCAATTGTTTTCTTGGTGACTATGGTCCCAGCTGCCTTGAGATCATTGACAAGATCCTCCCGTGTAGTTCTGGGCTGATTCTTCACCGTTCTCATGATCATTGCAACTCCACGAGGTGAGATCTTGCATGGAGCCCCAGGCCGAGGGAGATTGACAGTTATTTTGTGTTTCTTCCATTTGCGAATAATCGCACCAACTGTTGTCACCTTCTCACCAAGCTGTTTGGCGATGGTCTTGTAGCCCATTCCAGCCTTGTGTAGGTCTACAATCTTGTCCCTGACATCCTTGGAGAGCTCTTTGCTCTTGGCCATGGTGGAGAGTTTGGAATCTGATTGATTGATTGCTTCTGTGGACAGGTGTCTTTTATACAGGTAACAAGCTGAGATTAGGAGCACTCCCTTTAAGAGTGTGCTCCTAATCTCAGCTCGTTACCTGTATAAAAGACACCTGGGAGCCTGAAATCTTTCTGAATGAGAGGGGGTCAAATACTTATTTCCCTCATTAAAATGCGAATCAATTTATAACATTTTTGACATGCATTTTTCTGGATTTTTTTTTGTTATTCTGTCTCTCACTGTTCAAATTAACGTACCATATAAATTAAAGAGTGATCATTTCTTTGTCAGTGGACAAACGTACAAAATCAGCAGGGGATCAAATACTTTTTTCCCTCACTGTATAGAGGATATACTATAACCTGGACATTAGCAGTTCTGCGCTCCTGGTGCCGTAAATCAGTCATCTTTGTACTGTATGGATTGATTTATCAATGGTACAGAATACAGAAAAAGTTGCTTAAAAACCATACAGGTGTGTGTGAAGACAGGAGTGACACATACCTTCCGCTTCACATCCACAGATACACAGAGCAGCAGGGACCAATAGAAACCCAGTTCTGTGATGTAATACCAGTAGTGAGCCTCAGCGACAGGCTGCAGGGACAGACAGAAACAAAACAAACACCAGGGGGTTGAAGATTACTGAGCATGACTCCAGGTGGTACATCCCAATAGTCTAAAGTGGCTTCCTTTAATTTCCTCCTCACCTTTATCTGCACCTATCTGACAGAAAAGGAAAGTTGAAGGCTATATGGGAATGGAAGCCTACATGGAGGTATTTGCTTTCACCTGTCCGGTTCTCACACAAAAGCGTAGATGACACAGGAGGTTGGTGGCACCTTAATTGGGGAGGACGGGCCCGTGGTAATGGCTGGAACGGAATACGTAGATGTGTTAGATGCCATTCCAATACGTTTCCATGTGTTTGATGCCATTCCATTCACTCCGCTCCAGCCATTATTATGAGCCGTCCTCCCCTCAGCAGCCTCCACTGGTAGATGACAAAGAAAGGGAAACCAGGGAGAGGAAGGAGGCCTTTTGAGACTATTGAGACACAGCCCAGGTAGGAAGGAGTTAATGTGTGGACTGACTGTGACTCCATCCCCCACCTGTGCACTGGGAGAGATCAGTCAGTCAGGGGAGTTTACCAAGGAGGCCTTTTCCCAGCAGCAGCAGATAAACACCCAGCCCACTGCCAGGCCTGAGAGTCCACACAGCTGAGCATTTACAACAGGGGGTTCTTTGTTTGGGGAGCAGCCCTCGATTGAAATAGAGAAACTCAGGATTACACACACCTGGAGCACAGGCTTTGAATCAACGCACCCCTGGGGCGGGCCAGTAACCAGAAAGTCGCTGGTTCAAATCCCAGAGCCGACTAGACAAAACATCTGTCTATGTGCCCTTGAGCAAGGCACTTAACCCTAATTGTTAGTTGCTCTGGATAAGACTGTCTGCTAAATGACAAAAATGTAGACTTCTGAATGCTGCTTTGTTTAAACCCCCTCATATTCCCAACCAAAGCTTTAAAGTAGCATGGGTCCCCAGATCCTCAAAATGTTCTACAGCTCCACCATCAAGAGCATCCTGACCGGTTGCATCACCTCCTGGTATGGCAACTACTCGGCATCTGACCGTAAGGCACTACAGAGGGTAGTGCGTACGGCCCAGTACATCACTGGGGCCAAGTTTCCTGCCATCCAGAACCTATATACTAGGCGGTGTCAGAGGAAGGCCCAAAAAATTGTCAAAGACTCCAGTCACCCTAGTCATAGACTGTTCTCTCTGCTACCACACGGCAAGCGGTACCGGAGCGCCAAGTCTAAGTCGAAAAGGCTTCTTAACAGCATCTACCCCCAAGCCATAAGATTGTTGAACAATTAATCAAATGGCCACTCTACATTGACACCACCCCACCCTTTGTTTTTACACTGCTGCTACTCACTGTTTATTATTTATGCATAGTCACTTTACCCCTACCTACATGTACAAATTACCTCAACTAACCTGTACCCCCGCACATTAACTCAGTACCGGTACCCCCTGAATATTTGTTGTTTATTTTACCTTTATTTAACTAGGCAAGTCAGTTAAGAACAATTTCTTATTTACAACGACAGCCTACACCGGCCAAACCCAGACGACGCTGGGCCAATTGTGCACCGCCCTATGGAACTCCCAATCACAGCCAGTTGTGATACAGCCTGGAATCAAACCATGGGGTCTGTAGTGACACCTCAAGCACTGAGATGCAGTGCCTTAGACCACTGTGCCACTCGGGAGCCTTGTTATTGTTATTTTATTGTGTTACTTTCTATTTTAATTTTTTACTTTAGTTAATTTAGTAAATATTTTCTTAACTCTATTTCTTGAACTGCATTGGTTAAGGGCTTGTAAGTAAGCATTTCACGGGTAAGGTCTACACCTGTTGTATTCAGCGCATGTGACAAATACAATTTGATTTGATTTTGATTTGAAGTGGAAGCTTTGAAACTCCCTTCCTTTAGCAAGCGTTTCCCCACACGTCCACAGTCAAGGCTTAACATTCAAATCAGAGCGGATGTGTACATGTATAGAAAGTGCTGATAAATCTAAATGGCCGTGAAGTGACCCAAACACCCACCACCAAACAGTACTCTCCAAGGCTCCAGAGAGACAATAGAGGGAAGTTTACTGAGCCATTTAACCCCTAGAAATCACATGCTCCATCCCTGCAAGGCACAGAACACAGCCTGGCTTCAACAAAGGGAAGGTCAACAGCATTAGGGAGTTACAGTCCCATGTAGCTCAGTTGGTAGAGCATGGCGCTTGCAACGCCAGGGTTGTGGGTTCGTCTCCCACGGGGGGCCAGTATGAAAAATGTATGCACTCACTAACTGTAAGTCGCTCTGGATAAGAGTGTCTGCTAAATGACTAAAAACTTAAATAATTGGTTTAACTGTAGATAGAGATTTTGTGCTTGTAGTGTGTTCTGTTTCAGGTCATCCCCTTCTAGGGAAGGAGGAGGAGGGGTTAAGTCCCCTGTAGGAATGTCATAACTGTTATCTGGAGGGGCGTTGTTCAATTCCTCCAGCAGAAGGAGTGAGTTTCCTGAGATTGTCCAAAGCAGTGTTCTCAGATTCCCAAATCGTGTTTTGAGACTCAATGGTGTGGGATGCGGCTTATTGTGGCTATACTGTAGACTGGGTTGTCACTAGAAACATTTGATGTATTTACTTAGTGGGTGACAGGACAATTCCATAGCCTTTTGATGAGTGAAAGAACAAACATGTTTGGGAACCACTGGTCAACTGAAAGTTAAAGTGAACTGTTCTACTCACTTGTTTGGGGTAGCCCTGCCAGCACTCTCTGTGGTCCCAGAACCAGGGGGTCTGAGGGGTAGAGGGACAGAACAAATAGTCACAGTGAGGGCCTCTTAGTAGAAGTACAAGGAGCAGTAGCACTGTTCGGGGTAAAGGTAGCCAAAGTGAATGTGCTTCATATACTCACATCAATCAGGGAGGCAAGCGCTGCTACAAATGCAATGAGGTAGAAAACAAACCTCCAACTGCAAAAACAAAACAAAATATTTGTCATAATATAACATAATATCCTTTCTATAAACTATACATTGAAATGAAATAGATCACATGAGTACATAGAACTCTGAATGAGAGCTGACTCACGAGGCTTCACAAAACTTCTTGGTGTTGCTCGGTCTGTCTTGGTTGCGGCGATGGCGGAACCACGTTTCTATCTGGCGCTGACTGAGACCACACTGCTTCCCCAGGCCCAGGACCTCACTCTGAACACAGACAGGACCAAATCACCTCAGAGAGAGAAGCTCCATTGTTCCTTTCCTAAGAAGACCCTCAGCATATCTTTCATATACAGCTTTTTCAGAAAGATAATCCATTACCTACTTCTGCGCCTTAAATTTATCTCAATAGGTGTTTTATCACAGCTTCATTAGAGCAGAATTCCAATATTTACAGTATGTCAAAAAAGGAAGATTCTTAAAATGACAAATGTGTTAAATCCCTCCATTTGCCTTCCCCTGATCCCTGCTCTGTGTAAGCTATTCCCTCTCGCCTCCACTCCTCCCTGCCCACATGACAAAATACTACAGTTTACTATAGAATAATACAGTACTTACTATAAAATTCTATAGTAAACTGTAGTATACTGTAGAATACTATACTACACACTGTGGGGGCAGCAGTTAGCCTAGCGGTTAAGAGCGTTGGGCCAGTTGCTGGTTCAAATCCCTGAGATGGCAATGTGGAAAAACCTGCCGTTTTGCACTTGAGCAAGGCATTTAACCCCCAACAACAACTGCTCCCTGGGCGCCAATGACGTGGGCGTCGATTTAAGGCAGCCCCCCGCACCTCTCTGATTCAAAGGGGTTGGGTTAAACGAGGAAGACACATTTCGGTTGAATGCATTCATTTGTGCAACTGACTAGGTATCCCCTTTCCTCTTTCGCTAGTATCCCTCGATCTTGTGTAGTACTTACTATAGAATGTTGTAGTATACTGTAGAATACTACAGTAAACACTAAAGTATTATCCGCAAAAAAAACACTGCAGTGTCAGTATTGTCCGCAAAAACACGACACTTTTTAAAACTATAGTAAATACTACAGTATTTAATTTGCATACAGTACTAGTCAAAAGTTGGGAACTATCTGTTCAGCCCCCCAGTCCTACAGGTTATGGAAAATGTGCTATTTTATTATTCCTCCAGTAGGTTTCCTGAAAGAGAAAGCCTTGACTTCTATGTCAAATGCCAAGAGTGTGCAAAGCTGTCATCAAGGCAAAGGGTGGCTATTTGAAGAATCTCAAATAGAAAATATATTTTGATTTGTTTAACACTTTTTTGGTTACTACATGATTCCATATGTGTTATTTCATAGTTTTGCTGTATTCACTATTGTTCTACACTGTAGAAAATAGTCAAAATAAAGAAAAACCCTTTAATGAGTAGGTGTGTCCAAACCTTTGACCTGTACTGTATACCCTGCCCATTCCCCTCCCCATATCACATTTTGTGCCACCCATAAGTAAGAAACCGTAAATACTACAGTAAAGTCAGCAAAAACACTCCAGTATGTCACTCCTGAGTAAAGGCAGAACACAGCGATAGACAAACTGCTCACCTAAACCTTTGAGAAAAGTTTTGTTTGGAACTGATTGATTTAATTTGATCATCGTGACATACCAATGAGGTGGTTACACAATATGGGTGTGGGCTAGTGTAGTCATGGTGATTGTATATGTTGAGCGCATTAACCTTCACGGAACATCCAGGGAACGTCCCTGTGCATCATGAAAATGGTTTGCAAATGAGGCAGGAAGAAGACTGAAGCGTGTTAGTTCTAACACAGAGACTGACAGCCAGGTAATACTGTACCAACAACATAACCTGCTTCAACAATAGACAGAAAACAACATCTAAATGCACAGAGAGAATAGGATTTGTGTATTTCCATATACTATGGTATTTCTACTATCAGATACAGTGGGGAGAACAAGTATTTGATACACTGCCGATTTTGCAGGTTTTCCTACTTACAAAGCATGTAGAGGTCTGTAATTTTTATCATAGGTACACTTCAACTGTGAGAGACGGAATCTAAAACAAAAATCCAGAAAATCACATTGTATGATCTTTAAGTAATTAATTTGCATTTTATTGCATGACATAAGTATTTGATCACCTACCAACCAGTAAGAATTCCGGCTCTCACAGACCTGTTAGTTTTTCTTTAAGAAGCCCTCCTGTTCTCCACTTATTACCTGTATTAACTGCACCTGTTTGAACTCGTTACCTGTATAAAAGACACCTGTCCACACACTCAATCAAACAGACTCCAACCTCTCCACAATGGCCAAGACCAGAGAGCTGTGTAAGGACATCAGGGATAAAATTGTAGACCTGCACAAGGCTGGGGTGGGCTACAGGACAAAAGGCAAGAAGCTTGGTGAGAAGGTGACAACTGTTAGCGCAATTATTAGAAAATTGAAGAAATTCAAGATGACGGTCAATCAACCTCGGTCTGGGGCTCCATGCAAGATCTCACCTCGTGGGGCATCAATGATCATGAGGAAGGTGAGGGATCAGCCCAGAACTACACGGCAGGACCTGGTCAATGACCTGAAGAGAGCTGGGACCACAGTCTCAAAGAAAACCATTAGTAACACACTACGCTGTCATGGATTAAAATCCTGCAGCGCATGCAAGGTCCCCCTGCTCAAGCCAGCGCATGTCCAGGCCCGTCTGAAGTTTGCCAATGACCATCTGGATGATCCAGAGGAGGAATGGGAGAAGGTCATGTGGTCTGATGAGACAAAAATTGAGCTTTTTGGTCTAAACTCCACTCGCCGTGTTTGAAGGAAGAAGGATGAGTACAACCCCAAGAACACCATCCCAACCGTGAAGCATGGAGGTGGAAACATCATTCTTTGGGGATGCTTTTCTGCAAAGGGGACAGGACGACTGCACCGTATTGAGGGGAGGATGGATGGGGCCATGTATCGCGAGATCTTGGCCAACAACCTCCTTCCCTCAGTAAGAGCATTAAAGATAGGTCGTGGCTGGGTATTCCAGCATGACAACGACCCGAAACACACAGCCAGGGCAACTAAGGAGTGGCTCCGTAAGAAGCATCTCAAGGTCCTGGAGTGGCCTAGCCAGTCTCCAGACCTGAACCCAATAGACAATCTTTGGAGGGAGCTGAAAGTCCGTATTGCCCAGCGACAGCCCCGAAACCTGAAGGATCTGGAGAAGGTCTGTATGGAGGAGTGGGCCAAAATCCCTGCTGCATTGTGTGCAAACCTGGTCAAGACCTACAGGAAACATATTATCTCTGTAATTGCAAACAAAGGTTTCTGTCCAAAATATTAAGTTCTGCTTTTCTGATGTATCAAATACTTATGTCATGCAATAAAATGCAAATTAATTACTTAAAGATCATACAATGTGATTTTCTGGATTTTTGTTTTAGATTCCGTCTCTCACAGTTGAAGTGTACCTATGATAAAAATTACAGACCTCTACATGCTTTGTAAGTAGGAAAACCTGCAAAATTGGCAGTGTATCAAATACTTGTTCTCCCCACTGTATTTGATCATGTAAACGAGAAGACACATGCCCCGGCAGATGTACAGTCCAACATGTCAACACTTGCAAATTCTGCCTAATAACTCCTAACGAGTAATAAGGGTGGAATATTTCCATGTGAACAGAGCCAAGCCATAAAATATGACCTGCACCTGTACCTACCTGACTGACAAGGAAGGGATAGCCTACTAGAGCAATGCCCGCCAAAGCATTTAGCCAAGTCATGTTTGTGTAATAAGGGTTTTACACAAGGAAGTACTCTATTATTTATCCTATTCCACCAAATATACCTGGCTAATAAACAACTATCTTATCATTTCCTGGTGTACTACAACCCACAATAGTAGACACAAAACCCAACCCTAACCTGATACCCCTAAACGAGTTCCGCATAATGGTTCCCTATTATAGCAGAAACTACTTAAACTTCAACCTGATCCCGATTCACCCAGTAAACCATATAATTACAACTCAACCTTTATGCACCAATGCTCTAATTCTACTTGAGGGCTAAACTCATGAAGCAATAGTTTCTCCAGGGGAGAAATTGTATCTCATCTCATCTCTCATCTTATCTCATGAGTACTGTCTGCAATATCTGTAATGCTATGTGTAGAGGCTTAGTAATCTCTGCTAAAACGTACTCCTTATCAATTTCAAAATTAATCATAGATGTTTCTACAATTCTATAAAGGAATATTCCATATCCCATTAACAGAGTGACAGAGATGGATAAAGTAGATTTAGTTGAGTGTATCATAACTGACCTGTGAGGGTTGCTGTTTGTTCTGTTTGTAAAATGTTTCCAGCTTTGGGACAGGCAGGGCTCGAACCCGCACCCTGTCTCTCACCCCCAGCTGTCTGCTCAGTGGCATGGCTATGACCCTGTAGAGAAGACAGACAGAAAATTGAGTTCTGCAGTTTTTCAATTCAAAGACAAATCTCAGTTACACCCTATTTTCCATATGTCACACTGCTTTTGACCAAAGCTGCACTATTTATGTGGGTTTTGGTCAAAGGTGCACTATTGTTGAATAGCTTAAGACCAGGTGTTTCGCTTACTACAAGAAACTCCAGGCCCTAGTTATATTATAGCATATAACAGGCACCAGAGTTTTCATTGGGTAGGTCAGGTGGGGTGAAAAACTGTCAGGTGGTTAGGAAAAATTCCTGTCCCTTGGAATAGAATATCACTTAAGGCACAACCATTATCTCCTCAACAACAAAGAGCAAGAACACGAGAGCTCCTCATGTCACTCCATGTGAGTCTTCATCCTAACAAATGCACTGACAACCACTGGAGCCTCTCCCATTCCCATACACTTAGAGTTACATTGGGCCAGACAACCTTTGTGCTTAATTGATACTACGCCTCCAGGGACACTTGATCTATGTTTGTGTGTCTGAGTGAGAGGGTGTGAATGTGCTTGTGTGTACAGTATGCGCACGGGTGGGAAAGGGTGCAGGTAAGAGAGAGTGTGTGTGTGTGTGTGTGTGCATTTCTACAGTATGTGTGTACAGTACGAGTGTGTGTACCTCTACCAGAGTGATAATCATAGGTAAGTGGGCAGGCAGGGAGATCAGAATGGATGGAAGTTCAGGGTAGTTTAGCTCGGAGACTCCAGGGCTTTCCGGTTACAGGAACCCCACAGGAAACACCTGCTGCTAATGAAGTCCTCACTGACTACTACTACTCACATTTTAACAAACCCCTCCCTGCCCTGGCCCTGCGTATCTCACCTCATGTTGATTTGTGAATTGTTTGTTTTCAGGGCACCATTGAAAATGAGACCCTGGACTCAATTGGGCTCCCCTGAATAAATACAAGTTAAAATTATAAAGATTCGTATTTTCAAATATCCAACTCCTTCTGAGATACCATTGAGTGCATTTCATCCTCAGCGCCTGCTGTAACCCAACCCATGTCTATCTACTGTATTTTTGATTTGGTTTGAAATTCTGATTTGATAAGACAGGGGTTCCCAAACTTTTTCACTCAGGCCCCCTTCTAGCATTGGGAACATCCTGCGCAACCCCCCCCCCCCCCCATGTGATATTTGAGTGAACACATTTCTAACAAGTTATAAATAGCTCTCTTATGTATGCAATGACTGACATGACAAGAGGAAAACTGATGATGCACTACCCAATTTAGAAATTGCACCTTGTGCATTCTACTAATACAACTTTCAAGAGTAAGTTGAAAGCCGGACTGAGTTCCTTTAAAAAAGGGGGGAGGACCCCCGCGCCCCCCGCCGATGTTTTGCTACAGTGTGCCCAAATGAATGCCAACCAGCTCACCTCTCAAAGACGTAGCGCAGGACGATGAAGCCCAGAGCCAGCGGCAGGGTGTAGAAGAGGTCTCGGGGTAGAGGGTACCGGTCCCCCTCCATCTCTATGTCCTTCCAGGTGACCCCTGGAGGCAGCCAGTACTCCTCCTTCCATAGCCATTGGTCCAGCAGTCCCTCCATCCTACAGAGAGAAGAGGAGAGGGGAGGGGAGGGTGAAAGGAGGGGAGAATGTTTGAGAGCTCCATCCTCAGAAGTGGCTGTGCCTGCTGAAACATTGATGCTGCTATGATTCATATTTATGGAGAAGACAGCGACTGGGAACCTCCAAATTAAATATGACAAGCTAAAGAGAGTGAACAAGACGGTATGTGTCCTTGATTCACACTTCCCAGACAGAAACATAGTTAAAGCCAACATGAAGTCTGTGTGTGAGGCTTAAAGGGATAGTTCAACCAAATTACAAAATTACACATAGGTTTCATTACCCTGTAAGCAGTCTATGGACAAGGTATGACCAGGGCCATAGTCAGGGTCTGAGTTTTAGTGAGGTCTCCCCCCATCCAATAACTTTTAAGAAAGTTGAAGCACATTTACTGGAAAACAGCAAAAACAAGCAAAAGTTACCCCAGCCATTATCACATTCATTGCTGTAGCTTCATTCACTTCAGTCGATCTACAAACTCATAGCATATTAGCTATACAATTAGCCGCTACACATTAACATATTAACTCAGGACCAGGATTAAAAACTATAATTGAATACATACAGAGGGATCTGTTAGCAGAAAAAGTATTTATTAACAAAAGGTAAACCAAAAAGTTTGCTTTAGGTTCGTTTCACCTCAAAAATTACAGGAAAGGGGAATTCGACACCCATCTCAGATTTGTCTGAAATCGTTTCAGTAGTTAGTAACAGTTGCGATTAGCATTCCTGAAAAATTATTTTGTTGAAATTAAGCTAATTGCTTGCACACAAAATTGTCATTTTAATTCATAGGATTCAGATAATATTCAATAAATATAGTACCCAACATCCGATTTGGACCAAACTTCTTTCTACCCATGAGTAAGACACGAAGGAATCCCAAAATAAATTCAAAAGCCACCCACGGATACCCCACACCCCATGCCATCCCACCCCAACAACCAGTATACAGTATCCGATCTCTATGTTTGACAAGTAGTATGACGCTGTGGCTTGTAAGTATTGCTTCTCCATACTATGTAATGTATTCCCTGTGAATCTGGAGATAGTTTTTTTTTCCCTGTTCAGAGGAATTAGCCATTGAAGTCCCTTGCATTATTTACCATAAAGTAGTGTAAAAGTACCAGGTTTTGACCACAAGATGCCGCTGTTCCTGCTATACTGCCAAACTCTTTTATCCATTTTGCTGGTCTCTTGGGTTTATTAAAAAGATCACAACATTTCCTTTGCAACTTTGGGTAGAAAACCAATAGATTTGGCTAATTATTAAAATAAATTGTGTGGTCATCCTCATAATTCAAGCCAGACCTCCATGAAAGAAATTCAGTTTGTCCCTCTCTTAGCAACCTAATGCTTCAACACAACTCTCCTTAAATAGTCCAAAGTCTAAAGAAATGCTAATGCTGGCATTAAGATTGCACTGAATGAGCTTTATAAGGCCATAAGTGAACAGGAAACCGCTCATCCAGAGGCAGCGCTCCTAGTGGCTGTGGACTTTAATGCAGGGAAACTTAAATCCGTTATACCTCATTTCTATCAGCATGTTAAATGTGCAACCAGAGGAAAATAAACTAGACCACCTTTACTCCACACACAGAGACGCATACAAAGCTCTCCCTCGCCCTCCATTTGGTAAATCTGACCATTACTCTATCCTCCTGATTCCTGCTTATATGCAAAAACTAAAACAGGAAGCACCAGTGACTCGGTTAATAAAAAAGTGGTCAGACGACGCAGATGCTAAGCTACAGGACTGTTTTGCTAGCACAGACTGGAACATGTTCCGGGATTCTTCAGATAGCATTGAGGAGTACACCACATCAGTAACTGGCTTCATCAATAAGTGCATCGATGATGTCATCCCCACAGTGACCGTACGTACATACCCCAACCAGAAGCCATGGACTACAGGCAACATCTGCACTGAGCTAAAGGGTAGAGCTGCCACTTTTAGGGAGCGGGACTCTAACCCGGACGCTTATAAGAAATCCCGCTATGCCCTCCGACGAACCATCAAACAGGCATAGAGTCAATACAGGACTAAGATTGAATCGTACTACACCGGCTCTGACGCTCGTTGGATGTGGCAGGGCTTGCAAACTATTACAGATCACAAAGGGAAGCACAGCCGCGAGCTGCCCAGTGACACGAGCCTACCAGATGAGCTAAATCACTTCTATGCTCACTTCAAGGCAAGCAACACTGAAGCATGCATGAGAGCATCAGCTGTTCCGGATGACTATGTGATCACGTTCTCTGTAGCCGATGTGAGTAAGACTTTTAAGCAGGTCAACATTCACAAGGCCGCAGGGCCAGACGGATTACCAGGACGTGTACTCCGAGCATGTGCTGACCAACTGGCAAGTGTCTTCACTGACATTTTCAACATGTCCCTGACTGAGTCTGTAATACCAACATGTTTCAAGCAGACCACCATAGTCCCCGTGCCCAAGGACTCTAAGATAACCTGCCTAAATGACTACCGACCCGTAGCACTGACGTCTGTAGCCATGAAGTGCTTTGAAAGGCTGGTCATGGCTCACATCAACAGCATTATCCCAGAAACCCTAGACCCACTCCAATTTGCATACCGCCCCAACAGATCCACAGATGATGCAATCTCTATTGCACTCCACACTGCCCTTTCCCACCTGGACAAGACGAACACCTACGTGAGAATGCTATTCATTGACTACAGCTCAGCATTCAACACCATAGTGCCCTCTAAGCTCATCACTAAGCTAAGGATCCTGGGACTAAACACCTCCCTCTGCAACTGGATCCTGGACTTCCTGACGGGCCGCCCCCAGGTGGGAAGGGTAGGTAACAACACATCTACCACACTGATCCTCAACACGGGGGTCCCTCAGGGGTGCGTGCTCAGTCCCCTCCTGTACTCTCTGTTCACCCATGACTGCATGGCCAGGCACGACTCCAACACCATCATTAAGTTTGCCGACGACACAACAGTGGTAGGCCTGATCACCGACAACGATGAGACAGCCTATAGGGAGGAGGTCAGAGACTTGGCCGTATGGTGCCAGGACAACAACCTCTCCCTCAACGTGACCAAGACAAAGGAGATGATTGTGGACTACAGGAAAAAAAAGAGGACTGAGCACGCCCCCATTCTCATCGACGGGGCTGTAGTGGAACAGGTTGAGAGCTTCAAGTTCCTTGGTGTCCACATCACCAACGAACTGTCATGGTCCAAACACACCAAGACAGTCGTGAAGAGGGCACGACAAAGCCTATTCCCCCTCAGGAGACTGAAAAGATTTGGCATGGGTCCTCAGATCCTCAAAAAATTATACAGCTGCACCATCGAGAGCATCCTGACTGGTTGCATCACCGCCTGATATGGCAACTGCTTGGCCTCCGACCGCAAGGCACTACAGAGGGTAGTGCGTACGGCCCAGTACATCACTGGGGCCAAGCTTCCTGCCATCCAGGACCTCTATACCAGGCGGTGTCAAAGGAAGGCCCTAAAAATTGTCAAAGACTCCAGCCACCCTAGTCATAGACTGTTCTCCCTGCTACCGCACGGCAAGCGGTACCGGAGTGCCAAGTCTAGGTCCAAAAGACTTCTCAACAGCTTCTACCCCCAAGCCATAAGACTCCTGAACAGCTAATCATGGCTACCCAGACTATTTGCACCCCATCCTTTTTACGCTGCTGCTACTCTGTTAATTATTTATGCATAGTCACTTTAACTCTACCCACATATACATATTACTTCAACTATCTCAACTAGCCGGTGCCCCCGCACATTGACTCTGCACCGGTACCCCCCTGTATATATAGCCTCCCTACTGTTATTTTATTTTACTTCTGCTCTTTTTTTCTCAACACTTTTTTTGTTGTTGTTTTATTTTTACTTTTTTTGTTAAAAATAAATGCACTGTTGGTTAAGGGCTGTAAGTAAGCATTTCACTGTAATGTCTGCACCTGTTGTATTCGGCGCATGTGACCAATACAATTTGATTTGATTTGATTTGAATTCCCAATAATGACTAAGTGAAAACAGGTTTTTTGAAATTTTGGCAAATTTATAAAAAAAACAAAAACATAAATACTTTATTTACATAAGTATTCAGACCCTTTGCTATGAGGTGCATCCTGTTTCCACTGATCATCCTTGAGATGTTTCTACAACTTGATTGGAGTCCACCTGTGGTAAATTCAATTGATTGGACATGATTTGGAAAGGCACACACCTGTCTATATAAGGTCCCACAGTTGACAGTGCATGTCAGAGCAAAAACCAAGCCATGAGGTCGAAAGAATTGTCCGTAGAGCTCTGAGACAGAATTGTGTCGAGGCACAGATCTGGGGAAGTGTACCAAAAAATTTCTGCAGCATTGAAGGTCCCCAACAACATAGTGGCCTCCATCATTCTTAAATGGAAGAAGTTTGGAACCACCAAGACTCTTCCTAGAGCTGGCCACCTGGCCAGACTGAGAAATCAGGGGAGAAGGGCCTTGGTCAGGGAGGTTACCAATATACCGATGGTCACTCTGACAGAGCTCCAGAGTTCCTCTGTGGAGATGGGAGAACCTTCCAGAAGCACAACCATCTCTGCAGCACTCCACCAATCAGGCCTTTATGGTAGAGTGGCCAGACGGAAGCCACTCCTCAGTAAAAGGCACATGACAGCCCGCTTGGAGTTTGCCAAAAGGCACCTAAAGGACTCAAACCATGAGAAACAAGATTCTCTGGTCTGATGAAACCAAGATTGAACTCTTTGGCCTGAATGCCAAGCGTCACGTCTGGAGGAAACCTGGCACCATCCCTACGGTGAAGCATGGTGGTGGCAGCATCATGCTGTGGGGATGTTTTTCAGCGGCAGGGTCTGGGAGACTAGTCAGGATCGAGGGAAAGATGAACGGAGCAATGTACAGAGAGATCCTTGATGAAAACCTGCTCCAGAACCTTCAGCTCCCTCCACAGATTTTCTATGGGATTAAGGTCTTGAGACTGGCTAGGCCACTCCAGGACCTTAATGTGCTTCTTCTTGAGCCACTCCTTTGTTGCCTTGGCCGTGTGTTTTGGGTCATTGTCATGCTGGAATACCCATCCACGACCCATTTTCAGTGCCCTGGCTGAGGGAAGGAGGTTCTCACCCAAGATTTGACGGTACATGGCCCTGTCCATCGTCCCTTTGATGCGGTGAAGTTGTCCTGTCCCCTTAACAGAAAAACACCTCCAATGCATAATGTTTCCACCTCCATGTTTGACGGTGGGGATGGTGTTCTTGGGGTCAAAGGCAGCATTCCTCCTCCTCCAAACACGGCGAGTTGAGTTGATGCCAAAGAGCTCCATTTTGGTCTCATCTGACCACAACACTTTCACCCAGTTCTCTTCTGAATCATTCAGATGTTCATTGGCAAACTTCAGATGGGCATGTATTTGTGCTTTCTTGAGCCCATTCCAGCCTTGTGTAGGTCTACAATCTTGTCCCTGACATCCTTGGAGAGCTCTTTGGTCTTGGCCATGGTGGAGAGTTTGGAATCTGATTGATTGATTGCTTCTGTGGACAGGTGTCTTTTATACAGGTAACAAGCTGAGATTAGGAGCACTCCCTTTAAGAGTGTGCTCCTAATCTCAGCTCGTTACCTGTATAAAAGACACCTGGGAGCCAGAAATCTTTCTGATTGAGAGCGGGTCAAATACTTATTTCCCTCATTAAAATGCAAATCAATGCGTTTCTCTGGATTTTGTTGTTGTTATTTTGTCTCTCACTGTTCAAATAAACCTACCATTAAAATTATAGACTGATCATTTCTTTGTCAGTGAGCAAACGTACAAAATCAGCAGGGGATCAAATACTTTTTTCCCTCACTGTAGGCGTACAGAGGCCCATTATCAGCAACCATCAGTCATGTGTTCCAATGGCACATTGTGTTTGCTAATCCAAGTTTATAATTTTAAAGGGCTAATTGATCATTAGAAAACCCTTTTGCAATTATGTTAGCACAGCTGAAAACTGTTGTGCTGATTAAATAAGCAATAAAACTGGCCTTCTTGAGACTAGTTGAGTATCTGGAGCATCAGCAATTGTGGGTTCGATTACAGGCTCAAAATGGCCAGAAACAAATAACTTTCTTCTGAAACTCGTCAGTCTATTCTTCTTCTGAGAAATGAAGGCTATTCCATGCGAGAAATTGCCAAGAAACTGAAGATCTCGTACAATGCTGTGTACTACTCCCTTCACAGAACAGCGCAAACTGGCTCTAACCAGAATAGAAAGAGGATTGGGAGGCCCCGGTGCACAACTGAGCAAGAGAACAAATACAGAGTGTCTAGTTTGAGAAACAGATGCCTCACAGGTCCTCAACTGGCAGCTTCATTAAATAGTACCCGCAAAACACCAGTCTCAACGTCAACAGAGTTGCAAAGAAAAAGCCATATCTCAGACTGGTCAATAAAAAGAAAAGATTAAGATGGGCAAAAGAACACAGACACTGGACTTTTTCTTTGCAACTCCGACGGTGGGTTTGTGCCCATAGGTGACATTGTTACCGGTGATGTCTGGTGAGGACCTGCCTTACAATAGGCGTACAAGCCCTCAGTCCAGCCTCTCTCAGCCTTTTGCGGACAGTCTGAGCACTGATGTAGGGATTGTACGTTCCTGGTGTAACTCAGGCAATTCTTATTGCCATCCTGTACCTGTCCCGCAGGTGTGATGTTCGGATGTACCGATCCTGTGCAGGTGTTGTTACATGTGGTCTGCCACTGCGAGGACGATCAGCTGTCCATCCTGTCTCCCTGTAGCGCTGTCTTAGGCGTCTCACAGTACAGACATTGCAATTTATTGCCCTGGCCACATCTAAGTCGCTCTGGATAAGAGCGTCTGCTAAATGACTAAAATGTAAATGTAAATCTGCAGTCCTCATGCCTCCTTGCAGCATGCCTAAGGCACGTTCACGCAGATGAGCAGGGACCCTGGGCATCTTTCTTTTGGAGTGGCGCAGTGGTCTAAGGCACTGCATCGCAGTGCTAGCTGTGCCACTAGAGATCCTGGTTCGAATCCAGGCTCTGTCGTGGCCAGCCGCAACCGGGAGACCCATGGGGCGGCGCACAATTGCCCCAGCGTCGACCAGGGTAGGGGAGGGAATGGCCGGCAGGGATGTAGCTCAGTTGGTAGAGCATGGCGTTTGCAACGCCAGGGTTGTGGGTTCGATTCCCACGGGGGGCCAGTATGAAAAAAAAAAAAAATGTATCATGTATGCACTCACTAACTGTATGTCACTCTGGATAAGAGCGTCTGCTAAATTACTCAAATGTAAGAGTCAGTAGAAAAGCCTCTTTAGTGTCCTAAGTTTTCATAACGGTGACCTTAATTGCCTACCGTCTGTCAGCTGTTAGTGTTTTAACAACTGTTCCAGAGGTGCATGTTCATTAATTGTTTATGGTTCATCGAACAAGCATGGGAAACAGTGTTTAAACCCTTTACAATGAAGATCTGTGAAGTTATTTTGATTTTTACAAATGATCTATGAAAGACAGGTTCATGAAAAATTGACGTTTCTTTTTTTGCTGAGTTTATTTGGCCGGATCCGGTACCTCTCGCGACATTTATTAATTGTTTCACTGTTCGCACTGTAGACATTGTAATAAAAGTTGTCAGCGTTAAATCAAGTTGCCTCCTCGTTATTTGAAGTCCAAAAATCCAAAGAAAGATGGTGAGTCGAACCCAGAACGAGCCAGAGAACTGTCAGTGCCCGGAGGAGAGGAGTGAGGGGGAAACTGTTCCTGGTGGCGATGCCTTAGCTAGCAGCGCTGCTAATCCCGCCAGTTCAACATCACCACTGGCACCTCCACTAGCTAATAGGCCTACTAGCGAGTCAGACTCAGCAGGAGAGGGAGACGGGGAGCTGGGGGGGGGGCAGTGCATTCACCGACGAAGTGCTCTGAGCAGGTGCAATTTGCACTTGAAGAACACTGAACATATGCATTTTACTGCACCCGCCATAATACACCTGATAAACAGTCATGAGTGCGCACCTCCCTCCATCAACCTTGCGCGATTAGGAGATCACTAAATATGCCTTCTTCAGCTAATTTCTCTGCATTTATCAGCCTGGTGATAAATCCCAATGCATACTCCTACCATAACGACGCAATGACTAAATTAAGCGTTTGGCGTAGCCCTTTGATTAATTCACAAATCGCTCCTAATGTAGCCTACTGTCTGAGATAGAGACCAAAACACAGGCCTGGTCAAAGAAAGCAACGGTTTCGGTCAAATGGAAAGTAAGCGCAGGATAGCCTTATATCGATTATATAATATTACGATGTACAGCCCCGCAATCTTCAACAAACCTGTCTCAATACCCAACGACAACAAAAACAACGAGATAAATAGTTCAACAATAGCCATCTATTGGGTAGCTTACAACATCAATTTGCAAAAAGGCATTATGGAAGACGGTCAGTGTTACTGAAATTGATTTAAATTAACAACAACTTTGAGATTACCTGTCCACGCTCGAATAATGGGATGGGAGGCACAGTGTTGTCACAGCTGTTAACGGGCAAGGAGGAGCCGTTTGTGGCGGGCTACGTATCCTTCAAACGGAACACGGGGATAAAGCACCGCTCACATCAACACACGGTGAACACAAGGCGGTAAATATGGCGCTTTCCCCGTTTTCCCCATCTATAGAGAGCAATAGTAATGGCGTCTTTTTGTAGGCACTAACTCCGCCATGGTTCGTTGTAGGGTTTTTGGATAAACGTCGAAAATAAGGTCTGTGGTAAACAAAGGCTTAGAAGAGCCCCTACGTTTTGTTCTATGAGATAGACTAATCTTCATCAGCTAACGTCACTTTTTGTGAATTTGGAAGCATTTATGTAATAATAATAAAAACAATGCACATAAAGGCTTCATAATTCATAAAGGGCAGGTTAACTGACAGATATTATATTATAGGAAAAAATGTATGAGATCTCATAAGCCTGTGTTAACCTTATTTTCCGCGTTTATTCCAAAACCTTATTCTTTCCCCATTCACTTTGCCCATAGGAATGGCTGAACGAACCAGAGGTAAATCATTTCTGTTTTTTAGGACTACAAACTGGCGAGCTCTATAGAAATATAGTCAAAAAATCCTATAGGATTAGTGATTTTTCCAATAGAACCCTGTAGGATTCTCACAATCCTATAGGATTTTGTGTCACCTCTATCGGAATCCTATTGGACACATTTTTTCCTATTGGAAATCAAAAGTCATCCTATTGATATACATTCATATATAATAGTCAGCTATGCATACAAAAGAAATAATGTTCCCTTTACCTTCTTTATGTTGGGATAGGGAGAGGAAAATAAAAACCTAAAGATAATGAGACCCCCACCCAACTCCTTCCCTCCCCTCCGTCCGTCCCTCCCTCCCAGGGTTGTACCCCCGCCTCCCTCCCCCCAGAGCTGTCCCCCCAACTCTCCCTCCATCGCTAGAAGGCGCTCCCTCCCCATCTTCCCTATCTCCCTCCTGGATGTAACTACAAGTGCCCATCTAGTGACCTCTTGGCACACCTGATCCAGGTGTTGTAAAATAAAATAAAAAATAAATAAAAAAATATGATGAACTGTGTCATTAAGATTACATCAAATTGTTATTCTACTTAAATATTTTGTCTTGTCCATTCACCCTCTGAATGGCACGCATACACAATCCACAATCAAGTCTTAAAAATCCTTCTTTAACCTGTCTCCTCCACTTCATCTACATTGATTGAAGTGGATTTAACAAGTGACATCAATAAGGGATCATAGCTTTCACCTGGATTCACCTGGTCAGTCTATGTCATAGAAAGAGCAGGTGTTCTTAATGTTTTGTATACTCAGTGTAATTTCCCAATCTGAAGAAAAATATGGGCATACAGATGTTGCATGCAGATGTGAATAGTTTCTTTGGAATTGATTAGTGTTTTTCACTTTATTATATTTTCAGAGGGCCCATGCCATACCCATCACTTACCTAATGAGCTGAAACCTTCTGTAGGCTTACTTGAGCATGTGCACTAATGAATAAGCATATGGTTGTGGAACTATCGTGGAACTATCATTTCAGTTTATGACCGCATGAAATAAGTTGGCACTTGCACAACAGCAAACCCTGGGAACTCCAAGCAGAACCACAGGAATCAATGAAAAAGATGCCTCAAGTCATACTCACCCAGGAAAGAGTGAGTAATATTACACAATTCCCAGTGAAAGGTTGAAGAACTAGATAGTTCTATCTGTATGACTAAACCTATCAGGCAGAAGGAAAAAGGGATTTAGAAATACTTTACATATATACTATATAGAAACACTTTATACATACAGTGAGGGAAAAAAGTATTTGATCCCCTGCTGATTTTGTACGTTTGCCCACTGACAAAGACATGATCAGTCTATAATTTTAATGGTAGGTTTATTTGAACAGTGAGAGACAGAATAACAACAACAAAATCCAGAAAAACGCATGTAAAACATTTTATAAATTGATTTCCATTTTAATGAGGGAAATAGGTATTTGACCCCCTCTCAATCAGAAAGATTTCTGGCTCCCAGGTGTCTTTTATACAGGTAACGAGCTGAGATTAGGAGCACACTCTTAAATGGAGTGCTCCTAATCTCAGCTTGTTACCTGTATAAAAGACACCTGTCCACAGAAGCAATCAATCAATCAGATTCCAAACTCTCCACCATGGCCAAGACCAAAGAGCTCTCCAAGGATGTCAGGGACAAGATTGTAGACCTACACAAGGCTGGAATGGGCTACAAGACCATCGCCAAGCAGCTTGGTGAGAAGGTGACAACAGTTGGTGCGATTATTCGCAAATGGAAGAAACACAAAAGAACTGTCAACCTCCCTCAGCCTGGGGCTCCATGCAAGATCTCACCTCGTGGAGTTGCAATGATCATGAGAACAGTGAGGAATCAGCCCAGAATTACACGGGAGGATCTTGTCAATGATCTCAAGGCAGCTGGGACCATAGTCACCAAGAAAACAATTGGTAACACACTACTCCGTGAAGGACTGAAATCCTGTAGCGCCCGCAAGGTCCCCCTGCTCAAGAAAGCACATATACATGCCCGTCTGAAGTTTGCCAATGAACATCTGAATGATTCAGAGGAGAACTGGGTGAAAGTGTTGTGGTCAGATGAGACCAAAATGGAGCTCTTTGGCATCAACTCAACTCGCCGTGTTTGGAGGAGGAGGAATGCTGCCTATGACCCCAAGAACACCATCCCCACCGTCAAACATGGAGGTGGAAACATTATGCTTTGGGGGTGTTTTTCTGCTATGGGGACAGGACAACTTCACCGCATCAAAGGGACGATGGACGGGGCCATGTACCGTCAAATCTTGGGTGAGAACCTCCTTCCCTCAGCCAGGGCATTGAAAATGGGTCGTGGATGGGTATTCCAGCATGACAATGACCCAAAACACACGGCCAAGGCAACAAAGCAGTGGCTCAAGAAGAAGCACATTAAGGTCCTGGAGTGGCCTAGCCAGTCTCCAGACCTTAATCCCATAGAAAATCTGTGGAGGGAGCTGAAGGTTCGAGTTGCCAAAAACCTTAGCCTCGAAACCTTAATAACTTGGAGAAGATCTGCAAAGAGGAATGGAACAAAATCCCTCCTGAGATGTGTGCAAACCTGGTGGCCAACTACAAGAAACGTCTGACCTCTGTGATTGCCAACAAGGGTTTTGCCACCAAGTACTAAGTCATGTTTTGCAGAGGGGTCAAATACTTATTTCCCTCATTAAAATGCAAATACATTTATAACATTTTTGACATGCGTTTTTCTGGATGTTTTTGTTGTTATTCTGTCTCTCACTGTTCAAATAAACCTACCATTAAAATTATAGACTGATCATGTCTTTGTCAGTGGGCAAACGTACAAAATCAGCAGGGGATCAAATACTTTTTTCCCTCACTGTATTTATACTCCTATCAGATTCCAAATAATAACCTGGAGACTATATTAGATGCTATTAGTGTGTGGATTTGTATATTCTTAAAATGCTGCCAGCCTGGTCTCATAGGACTAGACGTAACATAGCAAACTTAAATCCGTAACACTCAAATCAGTATGATATGTTACGTTTGGTATGATTACATAAGACAGAAGCAAAAATGAAAGTAGGGTAGTTGGTCGGGGTGGATGGATAGGCATATAACGCGAACGTCTAGCAACCAAAAGGTTGCATGTTCGAATCTCATTATTGGACAACTTTAGCATTTTTGTAAATACTTACTACTTTTTAGCTACTTTGCAACTACTTAGCATGTTAGCTAACCCTTCCCCTAACCTTAACCCTAACCGCTAACCACTAGCCTAGCTAACGTTAGCGTTAGCCACCTAGCTAACATTAGCAACAACAAATTGGAATTTGTAACTTATCATATGTTTAGCAAATTCAGAACATATTGTACGAATTGAAATTCGTAACATATTGTAAGAATTGCAATACGTAACTGTCACGAACCGGCTCGTAACCCGTAACAAATAGGGAGACAAAAGCAAACTATATACAATTAACAATGGTGTGTGTAGTCAGTAATCAGTAGTGTAAGTGAGTGGATATGTGCATAGATGTGATAATGAGGAGTGTTGAAAGGTGCCAAAGCAAACAAACAACCAATACAGCCACAAAAATGCCACAACCAAAATCCAACAGTGTGTCTGCATGGAAAGAGTCTCCCCAATGAATGGGGGAAAGGTGTATTTATCCCTGGGACACACCCGAGCCCAGGTGTGTCCCATTTCTCTGACGACCCTCCCGGCTCCGCCCACTGACATCCTATTAATGAAAACAAGAACAAAGAGAGTATTCGGCAGACAGAGTGGGAGGGTCGTCACATAACATATCTTACAGTTTGTAATTCGTAACATATCATACGAAATGGATGATGTACATCCACAAATGAATACACACCATACAAATGTAACATATCATACTAATTGGTGTGTCCCGTTTACTATGTTACGTTTACCCGTGAGTCCAGGTTGATGATGCATAGTGATTAAGTATAATAGCTATATTTTTGGGGAGATATTTTTGGAGAAGCTATCAGTTAAAATGGAAACACCACTAACCAAACACAAGCTCATGTTCCAAGCTATTCGACTAGTTGTACATCAAATCCTAGTGTTTATTTAACTTGACACACATCTAATTTAATCAAAACATTTCCGCCTTTGTTATCACAACCGCTTTAAATGTGATTTACAGTGATGTGTTTGCAACAGTACAGTTTATGTTTCCTTTACTACTGTCCCCAAAGGCACCAGCTACACAGGTCACCGTGGGGGCACTGTGACCACAGCAACCATGATAGTGCTGCTTGTTCTTGTTGACAGGTCTACGTTCAAATAAAATAAAATAAAATTGTATTGGTCACATACACGTGTTTAGCAGATGTGATTGCGAGTGTAGCGAAATGCTTGTGCTTCTAGCTCCGGCATGCAGTAATATCTAACAAGTAATATCTAACAATTTCAAAACATATACCCAATACACACAAATCTAAGTAAGGAATGAATTAAGAATATATACATATATGGACGAGTGATGTCAGAGCGGCATGGACTAAGATACAGTAGAATATTATAGAATACAGTATATACATGTGAGATGAGTAATCCAAGATACGTAAACATTATTAAAATGGCTAGTGTTCCATTTCTTAAAGTGGCCAGTGATTTCTAGTCCATGTCTATAGGCAGCAGCCTCTAATGTGCTAGTGATGGCTGTTTAACAGTCTGATGACCTTGAGATAGAAACTGTTTTTCAGTGTCTCGGTCCCAGCTTTGATGCACCTGTACTGACCTCGCCTTCTGGATGATGGCGGGGTGAACAGGCAGTGGCTCGGGTGGTTGATGTCCCTGATTATCTTTTTGGCCTTCCTGTGACATCAGGTGCTGTAGGTGTCCTGGAGGGCGGGTAGTTTGCCCCCGCACCACCCTCTGGAGAGCCTTGCGGTTGCGGGCAGTGCAGTTGCCGTACCAGGCAGTGATACAGCCCGACAGGATGCTCTCAATTGTGCATCTGTAAAAGTCTGTGAGGGTTTTAGGTGCCAAGCCTAATTTCTTTAGCCTCCTAAGGTTGAAGAGGCTCTGTTGCGCCTTCTTCACCACACTGTCTGTGTGGGTGGTCCATTTCAGTTTGTCAGTGATGTGTACGCCAAGGAACTTGAAGCTTTCCACCTTCTCCACTGCGGTCCCGTCGATGTGGGTAGGGGGGTACACCCTCTGCTGTTTCCTGAAGTCCACGATCATCTCCTTTGTTGACGTTGAGTGAGAGGTTATTTTCCTGGCACCACACTCCCAGAGCCCTCACCTCCTCCCTGTAGGCTGTCTCGTCATTGTTGGTAATCAAGCCTACTACTGTTGTGTCGTCTGCAAACTTGATGATTGAGTTGGAGGCGTGCGTGGCCACGCAGTCATGGGTGAACAGGGAGTACAGGAGTGGGCTG